GGCTGACCTGTTTGCCGCAAAAAAAAAAAAGAATTTTAGAATACGTTATAATAGTTTGTTCCACAATAACGAGCTTTGTTGCGTTTTCTTTCCACGTCCTAAATCATACATTTTATTCCCACAATAATATATCTCTATAGTTGTTTTTGGTGAAGGGTAGTCAACTATTATATTTGCATTATATTTGCAAGAAGAATAATTTAACAATTGGCGCAGTGTTCGGACAGACTGTCTAGTTTCCATTCTATCAAAGACTGTATGTATTTCCTTAAAATAAGAACGCAGGCACAAATAAGTGTTTCTCCGGTGTAGCAGCGCCGTCATCGGCAAAAGTCATGAAAAGGTATTTAAGAAGTGGCTGATAATCAGCTGATCAATTGGGTCACAATTCTAGTTCTCTGAATTGATTATTGACGTGTTGAGGAATTTTAGTGGCAACGTTTAGGTCAGGACTCCGAAAACTGCGACCGACCCAAAAGCCGACAAAGTGAGCGTGTACTTGTACTTACTTACTTAAGTACTGTTGTACTTTTCGCGAAGGGAACGCCTATTGACATTTCATTCATAAACGTAAAGATGCTATGAATGGGTCTCATGACGTCATCTCAATGTGCTTGTTAATTATAAGACACAACGAACAGCCTGGAGGTTATATCTCAACACATGACGCATACAGTGACGTATACATGTCAGGGCAGCATAATGTTTCTATTCTGCCAAATTGCTTACAAAAAATGAATCGTGTATTGGTTTGCAGTTAACAACGGATCATGGTACTAGTAACACTTGTTTTTAGAATGACAGCCTCCACGCTTTACCTTGACAACCGTGAGACGATTTCTAGGATGCACCTCAATCAGGTTAATCTTCACATACATACGCTGTAATTTTTGTTCATTGTCACTATTTGTGTTATATCCCTCTGGAAATTAAATGAATAAATAAAGAAATAAATTACCTGGATATGCCATCGTTATAAGAAGAGCGCGGTGGACCTGGCTGATGTCCCGATGTTTCCGTAGCAACGATGCGATTCGTCCAGCTCAGCCGTAAGACTCACAATTGTAAGTGACCTAAAACCGTACGTTACTATAGCAACAGAAACAACAACCTGAATACTAAGTACAATGTCAATCCACAACTGTTAAGCGCGGTCGAACCTTCAGACCATGTTCTCCCGATCGTACCGTTCCACTTTCTCACAGAGCAGTCGAGTACTGACACAGGTTAATACAATGAGGTATCCAGGTAACGACTCATAAACAGTATACACAGCGTAATGCATACACTGCAACACACAAGAAAGGGCACCTGTATATATAGTACAGCGGGTATTAAAAATACTAGGTTAATACGGTTAATCAATTATTGCCAGTTTCGTGGCGCCCTTCGTGGAACGGTTTCATACCAGGGTGAATTGGTGGCGATCGTTTCAATATCTACCTCATACAAATTAAAAAAAACGATTAAAAATATATGCTTCATTATAAAATAAATTTACCCCAGAACATTTACGAGTCAACGTGAATACTACTTTTTTCAGAGAATTATACCAAAACTAGGATTCTAATATAATTGTTTGCAGAACATGTGATTCTTCTAATGAAAGTGTTTCACAGATCGTACTGATTCCACTCAAGCTTGGTGTAATGACAATGTTCGTGTGACACACATAGTTACGTTTCTGTGCTGTATTTTGATTAAATATTATTAAGCCGGGTTACTAAATTAGTCGAGTCTTACCGGACACGGCACTGCACAAACATGTAACACTGAGGCAAACACAAGAATACGAGACTTCACTGTAACTGTAATTGTAATTTAGTGTACTATTATATACTAGTAAATGTCGTAAATGTTCATAGACCAACTTGGTTCATTTACAACGCAGTCTTGTTTTCTGGAAAAAATACCAGACGTACGTACTCAGAATGCAGTCACTGAAGTGGATTCTTTCAGAGATATTATTCTAAAATCGTAGAACCATCTACCGATAATTTGTATCACGAATATAATGCACATATGTGTTCCAGTACTTTGCTGATTGTGGCTACGTCCATTCTCTGATTAATATAACCTTGTGTTTCATATTACGGTGAATATCTGTAACGCACAAATGATTAACTGTTGTTTTATTTTGTCTTGAATGTAATTTATTATTAATGATAATAGTATGCGTATCAAATACACTATTCCATTGTATTCTGTGATATTACATTATACAATACTATATAAAGTATATTACTACTACAAACATGGTTGATGTGAATGTGACTGGTGGCTATGGTGCGGCAATCTGTACGTGTATATTTCATTGACTAGAGGACCCACTACTCTCATGATACGTGGATATGGATAGTTTTCAAGGAGGCACGCATACTTAAATGTTACGAAAATAGTAGCTGACTTCACCTTCTGTAAGGATACCCTCTGGCAGATTCTTATCGCGTCCAATCACGATCCAAGGATGTCATGTAGATTACAGATGACCTTATAACCTTACACAATACTCACTCCCACAAGGTCTCCACCAGTGTGTAAAAACATTTCAAGAAACTAATAACATCATGACAGAGATACTACTTTCTTTCAGTAACCCAACGTTTGCGGCCTACGCTACCTATGGAACCATCTTGTTGGTTAAAATGATATTGTTACTGATAATGACGTCGTATACTCGCATAACTCGCAAGGTAAGTCTAATATAGCACATGTTACTGCCAGTTGACCC